ACATCCTCCCCTCTGTCATGAACCTTGGAGTGACCTTCAATAGTGCTTTTAAATTCGACAAGCAGGTCAGCACCGTAGTCAAGACCTGCTTTTTTTAAATAAGACTATTGACCAAGACCAAGTCGTATTTTCTTTTAAAGACCTAGAAAGGGTTATTAACGCCTTTGTAACCTCGAGACTGGATTACTGCAACGCTCTATACGTGGGTATGGACCAGGCATCAATTAGACGCCTGCAGCTAGTCCAAAACGCAGCTGCACGTCTTCTCACTGGCCACAAAAAGCGTGACCACATCACCCCAATTCTGGCCTCATTGCACTGGCTTCCAATTCGGTTCAGAATTGATTTTAAAATCCTTTTATTTGTTTTCAAAGCCCTAAATGGGCTGGCTCCGGCCTATATAGCTGAACTCCTCCATTGCTACACCCCAGCCAGAGCTTTAAGGTCTGCTGGCCCTAGGCTCTGGAACACTCTGCCCCTCCATGTGAGGTCGGCCCAGACCCTAGGGGTTTTTAAATCAACACTTAAAACTCACTTCTTCTCTCTGGCCTTCTAGCCTTTTCTTATCAAGCTCCACTTTCGTGGAATCAGCTTCCAGTTTTGTGTTCGGGCGGCCGACAGCCTATCCGTTTTTTAAGAGTACGCTTAAGACCTTCCTTTTTGATAAAGCTTATAGTTGATAAATAATCTAATAAGAGTGCATTGACGTAGACAGAGTTGGGTGTAACGCGTTACAAAGTGTAACGCGTTACAAAGTAACGCGTTTCGGTAACGGAGTAGTGTAACGCGTTACTTTTATAATTCAGTAATCACACTACAGTTACTAACATTGCCCCGACACGCGTTACTTCGTTACTTTTATAAAATCAGTCATAATCACACTGACAGACAAGAGGGGTTTCCGCCGCAGGTTTATATGTACGTAATCTGTGCGACTTGCGCGTCCACATCTCCACTTGCAGTACTGCATAACAGTCAGCGATAACTTTCGAGGGGCAGAGGTATGCCCATTATTTTGAGTTCGTCCGAAGAATAGACAGGAATGTGACGGTGAGGTGCAAACTGTGTCCAGGCCAGAAGCTGTTATCCACTGCTGCAAACACCACGTCAAACCTCAACAAACACCTGCAAAGAACACATGCTAATGAAGCTAATAGCTAAGGACCCCCGAACCCAGAGTGAGGATGTTGTGAGTGCGCCGCCGCCGACTCCGAAGCAGCACAAATTAGAATTTGGAGGACCGGTAACCAAAGCAGAGATGGACAGGCTTGTAGCATCCTTCATAGTAGAGGTAATGTTGCCCATTTTCACAGTGGAATCACCATCGCATCGTTCAGAGATATACTGCGCAAAATACAGATAGCAGGAGACAGAGGACAGCCATAGTCAGAGCTATCTGGATCAGTCTTATGCGACAATGGAAACTGAACTAAAGAGAACATTTGAAACTTTAGCAGTCTGCGTGATCTGCCTGCAGGGAGGGGCGGGCCGGCCCTGCGAGTAAAGTAACGAGTAAAGTAACGAGTTACTTTATGTAGAGAGTAACGAAGTAGTGTAATATATTACTTTTTTTAAAAGTAATATGTAATATGTAATATATTACTTTTTTTTAGTAACAACCCCATCTCTGGACGTAGACACGTTGTGCCTCTTCACCTACATTTTGTCTCTTTCACTTAAATCCTAAAAGCTTGGATCTTATATTTAAAACTAAGGTTATTACTACTACTCAGTCTTCTAAATCTATTCTCTCTCTACTTCTCATACTCTCTACTCCTGTAATCTATTCTTTCTATCCTCTCTTTATCCAAAACATGTCCCCTCTCTGACCTCTTGAGGTTCTATTAGAGGGTAACAGGTTGCAGAGACGTCTATTCAGGCCGGGAAGTGTTATGACCGTAGACACAGCGTACCTCCTTACCTCTCACCAATTCCAATTAAGGTTCCAGTGGGGACCTTGTTCCCTGCGTGTGCCTCTTCACCTCAGTTTCTTACTTCTTACTTGCTACCCTTTTCCCTCAACCTATCCTAAGGGAGTGCATACATGTTAGTTTAGCTGCTATAGGCTTAGACCAGGGGTCGGCAACCCCTGGCACGCGTGCCAGCATTGGCACGCGGCACCGTAGCCAGTGGCACACTAGGAATAAGTCGAATAAGTGTGCAAAATATTTAAATTGTATTTTCGGATCCTGAACGAGACCGCCGCCAGAGCGCGTCTCCCCGTTACCTGCAGAAGGAAGCCATGCACGCAACGCAGCCCCGCTCTCTTTAACTCCAGGTGACTTTCTGCCGCTTTCCTCCGTGGTGCAGTGCTGATCGTTTCACCACGGAAGAAAGCACTTCACAAATTGCAGTACCCATAAGGAGCTTTACAAATGTCGCAGTTTTTGCGTGGCTGTGTGTGTCTTTAGTTGAAAGCCCAGTGGCGATCTGCTCATCTCTCATTGAAATAATATGCTACAAAGGGGCGGACTGGCCATCTGTGTGTTGAACTTTCCTGTCGGCTCCCAGACCGTAGTCGAGGAGGGCAGAAGCAACGAGCTTCAGGTTCAATAACCCACTTTAGCTTAAATGACTGGAGAGAGGCGAGCTCTTCTTGAGAGGCCGTTGCATTTATTTAGCTGTTCTTCTGTTTCACAAAATACATCACAGACCTCTGTTTTTCTGCTGCCTCGTTTCACTTCCAGAAACATACTCACACGCACACGCCACACCCCTCTCTCTCTCTCTCTCTCTTAAAAGGGACAGCGATCTCATCTCACTCTGCATGACCCTAATATCATAACATGTGTGTTCTGGAGAATCACAGAACGGACGATCGTCCTTATTATTATGCCGTTTAAACCAATTATTTAAATGTGTGTGTTAAATTCGGTATCATGTAAGTTGCGCTGACAGGTCCACACACTGCTTCCCCGCAGCGAGGCCCCCCCCGCCCTCCTGTTGATAGATCACGAGCGTCAAGCTCCTCAACATCCTCAACCCCCCCCCCCCCCCCCCCCCCGTTGATAATTCTCGATCGTTGGCACGCTGATAATTTTTTTTTTTTTTAAATGGCACTTCATATCAAAAAGGTTGCCGACCCCTGGCTTAGACTGTCGGGGGACGCATTGCTTCTTCCTTCTGTCTGTCTGTACCTGCGTACTCTCATGTTCCGATTAACCCAGCTGCCCCCAAATTTATTTTCTTTTGTGTCTATATCTACGCCGGGATCCTGAGTCGTGGCTGATCCTGTTGCTGTGGTCCTGTGTCCTGGATCCTCTATCCTGAGTTCTGGATTGAGTCCTGGACTTCGAGTCGTGGCTGAACCTGTCACTGTGGTCCTGCCTGACTCTCATCATACTACTTCCCTGATGGCTCCCATAGGATTTTTGACATCCTCGTGGATTCATCTTGTTATTATAGACACATGCATTTCCAAACATTTGGTTGGTAAAATGTTATATCTCTTCGATTTACACACGGCATCTATTGCACGTCTGTCCGTCCTGGGAGAGGGATCCCCCCTCTGTTGCTCTCCCTGAGGTTTCTCCCATTTTCCCCTTTAAACTGTGGGGTTTTTCTCCGGAGGTCTTTCCTTGTACGATGTGAGGGTCTAAGGACAGAGGGTCTAAGGACAGAGGGTGTCGTTTTCTCATACTGATATTCTGTACAAACTGTGCTGTTGTATTTGTTGTAAAGTGTCTTTATTGTAAAGTATTTTATTATATGTACAGCACTTTGGCTCGACTAAAAATCGTTTTAAAAATGTGCTATATAAATAAAACTTGATTTGATTTGATTTGACAGCAGAGTAGTAAATAATTTTGAGTGTGACACCCCAGCACTGTTAGATGAAGAGCTGCAAACCTCCATATCCTCAGCCAGGTAACCAACCACCTTCATTTTGTCTGTTTACAGTGAGCAGCATACAATTACATCATAGTTGCTCAGGGAATGATGGAAAGAGACAAATGATTGGCCGGCATCTTTATTTAAACAACATTAGCTTGTAATGCTGTCCTCAGTATTCTGGGACCTGATGTGTGTATCAAACCACATTATTACCATTGACCTTTAGGACTTTAATAATGCACCTTAAGTCCATGAAGGACTCTTCTTAAACCAGTCAGGTTTCTACACGAGGGAGAGGCTTTAAACAAAAATCAGTACCTTAAAATGGTTTAAATGTGGATTATTATTGATATCTCCTCTGGTTGTGTACAAAGCAGCATCTGTGGATCTCAGCATGCAGTAGCAGTGACAACACATTTATAACAACCAATCAAAATTACTTGCATAAAATCTGCATTCCTTTAAAATTTGTTTTCCAGTCAAATTCTCTCAGTTTAGTCAGTTCTTCATTTAACAAAACGGCCTGTCAGCTGTTTCTGCTGCGGCTGGAGAAAGGAGAGGACGCTCCCACTGGAATGAATGGACCTGCAGAGGAACCAGCCTTCAGTGTGAGGATTGTTTTCATCACTATTACACTGTGATTTAGTGCAATACGAACAGAACGTTTCCATATGTTTCCTTAAAACTACAAGACAAAGACAAACCACACACTGAGATGTAGTCGATTTCTAAGGTTTTACCATTTTTACTCTTTGCACTCAATAATGAGCAGCTTATATTTCAGAGCTGCGTGTTGTATTTCAGAGCAGGCCTTGGCATGATGCTATGAACCGTGAGACCATGCAGGCACATCTCTGGCTTTGCTCGGCTATCGTTCTTTTTGGACAGTCGGGTTGCTGTGATGAGGTACAGTGAATTTATCACATCATTTCATTCACCATCTTCTTGCTATGAGCTTACAGAATACAATGTGCTTGATCATTGCAACATCTCTTCCCTTCACATGTTTGCAATGCAAAAACTGAAACATAATAATAGGTTCAACTTAATATTATTGCTTTCAACTAACCTAATACAGTTATGTGACATCTGTTGACATGTAATTAAAGTCAACGTTTCAGTTTGTTCAGTGTTCATGGTTACAGTTTTGGTTTCAGCAGTCTTACCTGGCTCCACTGACGTCTACTCCCACCATCAGCTGCCCGTTCAGTGACAGCAGTTCGTCTCTGAGCTTGATCCCCCCACAGCGGGCGGCTGGGCTCCTCTTCCTCACCTCTGTCACCCAGATGCAGCCCACATCCATGATGGGGCCCTGGTCCCTCCTCCTCCTCGGGCCCCCCTTCTTCCTTCCACCAGGGTCCCCAAAGATAGGGATGTTTCCAAAGCTGAGGCCAAACTCAGCACTGTCAAACTCATCTTTACTGAAGGCCACGGCCCGGACCTCGATGTCTAGCCCCTCCCTGCAGGAGGGGGGGCTGGGGGTCGGAGCTGTGTCACTCTCCATGAAGTTGAACTTAATGTACTCAACCAGCTTCTGAATGGCAGCCAGACACAGGGGCATGTCCTCCACGTTAACACTGTTAACACTGCTGCTGCTGCACACACTGTCCCCCTCCACATTCTGGCAGTCCTGGTCCCCCTGCAGGAGGAAGAGGAGGGACCAATGAGTGAATGAAAAGCCTTAAAGGACGTCACTGTCATTTGACACAAAATAAAATTATCATTTGTTTTAATATTCAGAAGCGCTGCATGGTGTCATGTTTTTATTTTTACTTGCATAATATTTAGTTCAGAGCACAGCAACTTGGGCGAGGAAAGTATTGTAACTGTAGGAATTATTATTATTCTTACAACAAATTCCATTTGGCCTTAGGCGCCCCAAAACCCAAGAAACTTGGCAAAAGATTCAGGTTTCGGGGTGGGAGTCTATGGGAGAGAAACTAACTCTGGAGGGAACACAGGGATTTTAGCCTTTGCAGACCATTTACATGCACTAAAACCTATAGAAGAGTACAAGGAAGGGAGAACCACAGAAAGCAGAATAGGGCCTCTTTAAATTATTTCCAGAAAGTATTTCAACACACTAACCTGATGACCATGTGACAGAGTAACTTGATTTGGACAGTAGTGGACTGTAACTCTCCTTCAGACACCCACACACCCATCAACCATGACACAGTGCCTGGGACCAGACAGCATTTGTCTACTATACAGGGTCCATTTTCCAAAATTAGATATCACGGACAATGAGACTTCCTGTTTACACTCCTGAGCTATACTTAGGAGAGGGTTTACTGATCTGGGGGCCTTAAAACACTTAGATATGGGCCCTTTCTCTAAAGAAAAGGTTGTAAGCTTTTGTAGAAGGTCTTTCATAAAAGTAAAACTATTAACCCTTGGAGACCAACATGTCTTTTTTAGTGGAGGACGGGGATGTTGAGGAGGAGAAAGCAGGTCAACAGTATATGCCACATAGAAGTGGAATATCACATCTGGAAGCTGGAAACCTGAAGATTAATTTCACATTATTGATTTTAAATCCTAATTAAAACACTGATGATTTGAGCAGATGTGTTCAACAACAAGAGTGTTATGCTGGAAGAATGACATAAGTGGATGACGAGCACTTTTTTTCTGGGAATACTGAGACACCTGCTGATTGACATTCTATTAGGAAAAGCTATTTATCATCTGAATGTCCTCAGTCCCTAGCTTGTGGTGGTCAACTTTCCTGAGTCTGTGATTAACCTAGAGCTTCCAACAGCCCATTGTATACAGCGAGGGGAAGTTTAAAAAAATGACTGCCACCATAATTAAATGGAAATTATAACATCAAACACATCATCACACATGAATTCAGATTTGGGCTCATAAAATCAAAAGAGTCTTAGCATTCCAGTCTCAGCAAATTCATGCAGTTCCAAGACTGACCCATTTCCCAAGATGGCGGCAGGCAGTTCTGGCGCAGTGGCAGCAATCTATCTCTGTATGATTGTCCTAAATCTCAAACCTCTGTGTAGCTACACCACTCATCTTGCCCCCATGGTAAAACAACATGTTGAGGATACATCATTATCTGCACCAGCAACATCGTTGAATATCAAGCACTTCGGCCATGGTCGGCATGTAATCTACAGTTCATTCATCTGGCACTCCTGGCAGACTCTCTCAAACAAAAAAAAGGGTCTAAAACGAAAAGAGGAGAATATTGGGCTATTGGCTCTGCTGTGTCTCTGAGCTCCACACGCCATCAGTCGGCTTCCGAAGAGGCTGGCTAGCTGAACAGCTAGCACCACCAGCGGGTCTCTGCAGCTGCCGACCTAGCAGCAGGACCTCTACCCACACCATCGGAGGACTACGGGTCCACGCCGAGGGCTGGTGGCCGAGCAGCTGAGATCCACACACCACCGGACACCACCGGACTGGCTTCAGAAGAGGCCGGCTAGCTGAAGAGCTAGCTCTGCCGGCGGATCTCTGTGGTCTCGCGCTGACGGCTGCTGGCCTAGCATCTGGACCAACATCCACACCATCGGAGGACTGCAGGACCGCGCCGATGGCTAGCAGCCTAGCGGCAGAGATCCATAAAACACCAGCTAGCTTTGTCTGCTCCACTGTCAACAACGGCACCGAGGTAAAGCCTAGAAATCCTGTATTTAAAAAACACTGTTGCACAAAAATGTTTCAAACAGTGAATCAAGCTAAAATAGTGTGGGATCATCGGTGCAAGTGTGACCCACACAAAGTGTAATCACAATTGTATGTGTATAATTAATATGATTTAATATGACCTGTTTAACAATGGACAGCAGGGGGCAGTAGATGGCAGGGTATCACTGCCGCAAAGGGGTTGGTTATTATTTACGCGTCTGCCGTAAAATGTCTGACGTGATGACGGAGCTGTCGTTAGCTTGCCATTCTGGCAAGACCCGCCAAACGAGCAGTAAAAGGCATTCTCTGCTCATCATTTCTCCTGTTCTACAGGTCAGTAATGTGTACAGATTGTCACAAATGTTATAAATCGCAATGTCTTAAGTTTGAAGTGATGTTTAGATGTTGTTTATTATGTTTAATGCCGCGTAGAAGACCACCTCGTGGTGTGTGTATGGGTAATGGCGGTCGCTATTTAGATGTAAGACCACCTCGTGGTGGCTGTGTGTATGTATAATGGCGGTTGCTATTTAGATGTAGTAGACTCACGCTCCCTGATGAAAGTGAATGCAAGTTAATTGTTTATAGCTCCTGTGCACTTTATTAGCTACCTATTTTCAGTGTTAATATTCCAAATGACAAGGTGTGTTCTGTATTATCGATAGCCTATGTGCAGTCGTTCTTTAATTATTGTAAATGCTTGTAAGATGCTAATGCTAGCACATTTTAGACTAATGCTAATAGTTATCCTGAAAAGGTACTTAACAGTACATTCTTATTTTTAGTCATGAAGGTAATGACATTTGGTTATAGACAAATGTGTTTATTTTGAATACTTCAAGCATGGTAAAAGTATATTTTGAAGACATGAACATATAAACATGTGTTTATATTGAGAGTAGGAAAAGGGCAAGAACAATTGTGTTTTGTTTTGTGCCAATTGTGAATAAATTCTGGCAAGACCCGCCAAACGAGCAGTAAAAGGCATTCTCTGCTCATCATTTCTCCTGTTCTACAGGAACATAATCTGTCATCGCGCCCTGCATAGTGGGGCCTGCTACACAAGCCGAAGGGACTATTCAGTGGACAATTACATTTCCGCAGCATCTGCAACAAACATGAACAGCTAGAACATCTCCTCCTTGAGTCCAATATTGACTGTTTGGGAATATCTGAATCTTGGCTAAAACAGTCGTCACCATCCACTCTTGTATCTATGTCAGGATATAATGTGTTTAGGAAGGACAGACTGAAGGGGAAAGGAGGGGGTGTGTTGCTTTATGTGAGGAATACCTTTACTTGTAGGGAGATTGCTCTTCCAGCTAATATTGAGTTTGATTGTGTTGGTGTGGAAATCACACTTTCTGAGGAAATGTCCCTCACCATGATTTGCCTGTATCGACAACCCACCGCTAAGGTGGATTTCTATGACCAGGTAAAACTCATGCTGAATTCCTGTGACTCCAACAAAGAGCTAATTATTTTAGGAGACTTTAACATAAACTGGAATGACAAACAAAATAGAAAGAGCTTAAAACGGATCACGGATAAACACAACTTAATACAACTAATGGATCAACCGACTAGAATAACCAAAACCTCCAAGACTATGATAGATGTATTATTTACAAACAAAGCTGACAGAATAGTTAAAACCTACAACTTCCTGACTGGTCTTTCTGACCATAATCTTGTTCTTTGGCTTGGCAACTGGAAGGTCACCAGTTCAAGTCCCGGCAAGACCAAGTGCTACCGAGGTGTCCCTGAGCAAGGCACCGTTCCCTACAATGCTCCCCGGGCAGATGGAGCTCATAGCCATGGAAGGCAACCCATCTAGGAGAAGGACACTCTGAACTAAAACCAGGACTGAGAGGAGTTGCGCCCCCCAGTCCTTAATCAGCATAGTAAAGCCAACCATGAAGAACAAAGTCATCCCAAAATCCTATATTACGGAGAACCGGGATGACTGGAAGCGACGATGGAGGGCTCGTCTGAGGACGACCTAGAGAGAAAAGTATGTGTTTTTTTTATAAATGTTTACATAGACTGGCCCCCCCTCCCTTGGGGAATTCATCCACAAAAAAGACACTGGACGCTGCACTAGGTCAGAAACCAGAGGAGACTGTGAGGTCCACCGTAGACGAACCACTTTCGGTCAAAATGTTCTCTCCATTAAAGGCAGCTCTTTGTAGAATAGCCTCCCAACTGAGTTACGGGATTGTCCCACTTTGAACAGTTTTAAAGGTCAACTCAAAGAATGGTTGAGAAACAAACAAACGTGCAATCACCGCTAGATGCACTTTAATACAGGGGCATCTCCTCTTGCACTTTATGTAGCCCTTTTATCTTCTCCTGCACTTGACATGTCGTAGCTGCTACATTGTACTGCCATGTGGTTAATGCTTGTATGCTGCTCATGCTCTTTCTGCATATCATGTATTTATTTTTGCTATGTATATAAATGTCATGTTCTTAAATGTTGTGTGTGAGGGACTACGGATGGAAACTAGCTCAAAGCTAAAATCCGGCATGTTTACATTTTAAAGCATTATTTGTTTTAAATGTTCATCAATGTGCACTGTCCCTCTTCAAATAAACGATTAAATGAAAATGAAATTAATAATAACAGATTTTTACTGAAAGATGTTTGTCCAGAGATGAACGAAATTAAATATAATATCTCTGTAAAGACAGACTTGTGGATATCCATGGAACCCATCTTCATTCATATATCTTGAGAGGAGAGGTCAGGGGACCCGTGTTAATATGGCCATGACAGTTTGTCCCTCGCCAAATGGAGCCAAACTTTGGTGCGTTATTAACCCTCCTTAATTAGTCAAAACCTTCATCACCTCCTCCCTCCCTAACTCTCTGGACCCCCTGCAGTTTGCCTACAGAGCAAACAGGTCCACAGACGACGCCATAGCCCTCACCATCCACACTGCCCTCTCACACCTGGACCAGAGGAACACATATGTGAGAATGCTGTTCATTGACTACAGTTCAGCTTTCAACACCATTGTGCCCTCCAAGCTGGCCATCAAGCTCAGAGACCTCGGGATCAACAGCGTCCTCTGTGACTGGATCCTGAACTTCCTTACGGGCAGACCCGAGGCAGTGCGGGTGGGAAACATCACATCCTCCACCCTGATCCTCAACACCGGAGCCCCTCAAGGCTGCGTGCTCAGCCCTCTCCTCTACTCCCTGTTCACACACGACTGCGTGTCCACACACAGCTCCAACACCATCGTGAAGTTTGCTGACGACACGACCGTCATCGGCCTGATCACCGACGGCGACGAGACGGCGTACAGAGAGGAGGTCGAAAACCTGACATCTTGGTGCCAGGATAACAACCTCCATCTCAACGTCAGCAAAACAAAGGAGCTGATTGTGGATTACAGGAAGCAGCAGAGAGAGGGACACGCCCCCATCGCCATCAATGGGACTACGTGGAGAGAGTCAGCAGCTTCAGGTTCCTCGGGGTCCACATCACTGAGGACCTGACATGGACTCTTCACACTAACACCATCACCAAGAAAGCTCGACAGCGGCTCTTCTTCCTCCGCAGGCTGAGGAGGTTCAACATGGACTCCAGGATACTCTGCAACTTCTACAGGTGCACCATAGAGAGGATCCTGACCTTCTACAGGTGCACCATAGAGAGGATCCTGACCTTCTACAGGTGCACCATAGAGAGCATCCTGACCTTCTACAGGTGCACCATAGAGAGCATCCTGACCTTCTACAGGTGCACCATAGAGAGCATCCTGACCTTCTACAGGTGCACCATAGAGAGCATCCTGACCTTCTACAGGTGCACCATAGAGAGCATCCTGACCTTCTACAGGTGCACCATAGAGAGCATCCCTGACCTTCTACAGGTGCACCATAGAGAGCATCCTGACCTTCTACAGGTGCACCATAGAGAGCATCCTGACCTTCTACAGGTGCACCATAGAGAGCATCCTGACCTTCTACAGGTGCACCATAGAGAGCATCCTGACCTTCTACAGGTGCACCATAGAGAGCATCCTGACCTTCTACAGGTGCACCATAGAGAGCATCCTGACCTTCTACAGGTGCACCATAGAGAGCATCCTGACCTTCTACAGGTGCACCATAGAGAGGATCCTGACCTTCTACAGGTGCACCATAGAGAGGATCCTGACCTTCTACAGGTGCACCATAGAGAGCATCCTGACCTTCTACAGGTGCACCATAGAGAGCATCCTGACCTTCTACAGGTGCACCATAGAGAGCATCCTGACCTTCTACAGGTGCACCATAGAGAGCATCCTGACCTTCTACAGGTGCACCATAGAGAGTATCCTGACCTTCTACAGGTGCACCATAGAGAGCATCCTGACCTTCTACAGGTGCACCATAGAGAGTATCCTGACTGGCTGCATCACGGCCTGGTACGGCAGCTGCACCGCCCTCAATCGTAAGGCTTTACAGAGGGTGGTGAAAACTGCACAGAACATCACCAGGACGGAGCTGCCATCCATGGAGGACCTTTACTCCCAGCGGCTCAGGAAGAAATCCCTCCGGATTATAAAAGACCCCCATCACTCCAGCCACAAACTGTTCTGTCTGCTGCCGTCTGGCAGGCGCTACTGCAGCATCCGGACTAAAACCACCAGACTCAGAGACAGTTTCATCCCACAGGCAATAAGACTGTTAAACACCTGAGCTCTGCTAAGTGCCCCGATAAACATTCCTGTTATCATCTTGCAATCTACTTATTTTTATAAATAGTTATCACCGCAATAAACCATAATTAATTTTGTCTTAATGTACATTATTTAATTTCATATTCTGTTCTTGTACATATCATATTCTATGTACATGTATATAGGCTTTTTGCACAATTTTTTACTTTGTATTTTTGTATTTTATTATATATGTTGCATTGTTGGAGGAGCTCAGGTCAGAAGAATATCATTGCCATGTCTACACTGTAGCTATGTGCATATGACAATAAAAACCTTTGAATCTTTGAATCCTGCAGACAAATTGGCCTGACCTGGTTGGTGCTCATGGATTGCTTCTGTTTACTGTCCGAGACCACCAACCCAGAAGCAGGTATATACCGTTCTGTGAAAGTAGCCTTAATGGAAACTAAAAAGAAAATTCAGGCAGTAGGTTTACCTATAATAAATTGAACTTTATTGATAAATTGTAATCCTGCAAGTAATCATAGTTTTTTTTTTTAATGTAACAGTAATCTGTATTTTTGTATGTAACTGTAAGGGAATAAAGTTACCTTTTTTTGGTATCCTGATTAGGTTATCCTGTTACATGTAATCTGTTACTCCCCAAGCCCGGTTATAGTGGCAGAAATCTGCAGTTGTGAAGTTGAATTGGATATTCCATATACAAATAAAGTACCTTGTAGCTAGAATTGTCTTGGTTCAGGTTGCAGTCCTGCTGTGGTCGAGTGTTCTGAGCCCCCTGCCAGTTCTCCAGCAGTGGGAGGATGCTGAGGGCGTTGTCCTGAGTGAGGGGCATCCTGGCATCCTGGGCCTGCTGGGGGTCTCTCACCGACACACACTGGGACGCTTCAAAGAGTGAGAGCTGGCACAGGGGCCAGTGTGGGCCGACAGCCCCAAATCCATCTCTGAAAGAGAGAAACTGGACTAACTCTACTCACAGATTTCCAGATGAGCCAGGGTGGAAACTATGGGATTACTGGCAGGACATGTCAGCTGTGGCGTCTGCCGCATCAGGCCATTTCCTGAAGAGAAAACAGTACCATGTCACATTAATGCAGTAACAAATGTTAAAAACTGTCAAACGAGATGAATTAAAATACGTTTTATTTTGTTCTATTTGTTACCATGCCAATCTTTGGTCTTTCTTATTTAGTATTTTACTTTAACATCTACAATGTTAGTGAATAATCCATATTCACAGTATTTGTAATACTATGTGAACTCGGCAAGGTTGAGTACTGACCTGTGTACATACAGTCAGAGCTTTATTTATTGACCAAAGATGTTATTCTGATCATGGCATTATTTCCCAGCAGACAGAATGAAGATTACTGAGCGATTCCTCAACAGCACACCAAATAATACTGACATCGTTTCTACTGTAAATCTGTTGGCATGTTGGAAACACACATATTGAAAACAGTTTATAGAGTTCCATGAAAAGTCAAACGTGTCCCTCTCCCGGTGTCTCCATCCGCGACACCAGACAACTGGGGCAAACAGCTGCATGCCAATTTAACCACTTTGGGCAAATGACTGACTGGAACTCCACAGTTTTATAACAATAGAGGGAGATCTGTGTCTGTGATCAGCAACGTGTTGTCATAGAGATTGTTTAGGGTGCAATTTTAAAATAGAGTTCTCAGAAACAAAAATAATGTTACTATGGTGCATTATACACTGAAAAAACAGAAACGTTTACTTAAATTAAATGTATTATGTAAACAGATTTCACATAAATAGGTTAGTAGAAAGCAAACATATTAGGTAATATAAGGTTCAACGTAATATTATTGCTCTCAACTAACCTACTACAGTTATGTGACATTTGTTGACATAATACATGTGATTAAAGTCACATTTCAGTTTTATCATTGTAGATATTACAGGGTTCCTACACCCTTTTAAATTAAAATGTGCAAAATACATTTAACTTCATGTATGATCATAAAATTACTGACAGATTATATTTTTATTCAACATTTTTGAGTGTCATTCTGCGTCCTGAGCATTGTCTGAACACTAGAGGGAAAATAACCAACAGATACAGAACAAAGCAATCGTAATAAGGAAAAAACATTACTGCTAACTTTATATTACTCAGCATGATTTAGTCCCATTACATTTCATTTCCCATCAACAGGTTCACTGAAGAAAGTTGTCTATGAAGGGTTATAATGTCTGTTCTCCCTCTAACTGACAAATAAAGGCCTAAATTAGTATAGCACATTCAAAACTGATATTGTGCAAACAAGAAATAAATAGTTGTAATGTACTTGATGTTGGCTACTTGATGTTGTAGAATTAATCAAATAACAGGTAATTTAATGCCAATGAATGATTCACATAGAGTATAATTATGTGAGCCATTAATTCAGTATGCATATTAAAGAGGCCTGGTTATGCTTTAGGGGTTTCCCTCTCCTCTAGTGTGTCCTATAGGTGTTTGTGCATGTAACTGGTCTGCAAAGGCTAAAATATGTGCTGTGTTCCCTCCAGAGAGAGTATCTCAAGCTCCCTCTGGAGGGAACCCCCCGGCCTGAAACGCCTGACTATTTTGACTATTTTGTTCATTTCTGTAACATAGAGACATCATTATGTAACATTCATGCTTGCATTAGCTAGTGCTCCATCACATTGTACGTGATAGGTGGGGCAGGACATCTTTAAGTGGTTGACCAATCAAAACAAAGTCTACAGCTAACCAATCAGAGCAGACTGCGCTCTGGTTTCAGACAGAGGCTGAAAAGAGGTGCTGCAGCACAGGCAGTATGAGAAAAAGAAAGAGAACATGTCACAGAGACACTACATACTGATATACACCTGAAACTGTGCATAATATGGCGCCCTTAACACACAATATATGTGACCATTTCTATTGAGTTAAAAACAACAATTCATGCATAATCAGCAGTTAAATGTGACTGAATGCCTATTGCGTTGGCTTGCTTTTTGAAAATGTATTAGCACTGGATTAGAGTCATGTTGTCTATCCACTTACACCAAAACTAAAAAGTTGCTGGTCTTGCACCACTTTCCCACACTGCAATACATTTAAACCAACAAGGCTTGAGGATGGGCATATATAAACGTATGAACTTTAATAACTGATGTTAACTTTGTTGTGAAAAGGTCTAAAGCACACTAAACCAGCAGAGTCTTTCAGGGGCCCCGCTCACAGTAAAGGGCTCCTATGAGAAGTGAGGAATCTAGGTTGACCCTTCATCTGCACGCTTAACTACAGACAGAGTGCAGCCACATCTGTGGCAGATATAGACAAAAATGCAGGCTACCACCAGACCACACTTTAATGACTATGCAGAGCTTGGGCTTCAAATAAACGGTTGGGCTTTGTGGTACCATCTGCCTCTACTATTCCTGTACTCTGCAACCAGAGCAAGCTGGGCCTGCCCTGCTCTGGCCCGAGCTGAACCAGCAACTGGAATAGGAGGTGCAGGTTTACAAGGAAGTATTCCAGGTGGGGGTAAAGTACAACCTCCTGCAGATATAGCTTGTGGTAAAATGATCAAATGAAAAATAAAAGTCAGTTACAATCACAATAAAGATGACTGAAGGGAGGAGTCTGAGAGATGAATAAAAGCTTTTTATGGGTTAAACACAATTCTTCCAGGGCACCTCCTCCTGTTTGCCGGGAACATAATCAATATTTCTCTTGTTCTTTTTAAATTATTGCTGATCTTTTTTGTACCTTACCTAGAGTTTGTTTTCCAGACAACTCGAAACACGAACATTTCACATTTCCTACTCAAAAAAAGTACAATTGAATGCTACTTAAAGACAGAGTGCCTACTTGTAAACTCGGGGAAAATCAATCTAACTGAACAACATGAAGTAGCAGCTGACGCCACAAAACAACGGCAGCACTCATGGAAGCCACATTTTAAATTGTAAACCGTCAACTAAAAGATAACATCAGTAGTTGTCTATATTTGTTTGTCTATGGCAGTGGTTCTCAAACTTTTTCTGTCAGGCCCCCCCTTTGGAGAAAAGAAAAAAGTCGGGCCCCCCCAACACAAATAGTCACGTAATGGGCCATGTTAACATTTATTAAAATACTTCAATATGAACGTGAGCATTCCTTTGCTAGAATAGTGATAATAAAACAATGCTCCATAAGTCTGTGTGGTCAAAAAAATAAATACATAATACAATTGTGCAATCCCTTTGCTAGAACAATAAGTTATAATACTTTGCCACTTTGCAATCTCTGCAAAAAAATGAAAAGAAAGAAAATGCTGATATTTGGCAAAAAAGTGTGTCTTCTTATCACAGCATTAGTGGCTGCAATGAGCCTGTGTTGCACTGCACATTTCTTCAAAACGGGGTTGCAGGCTCAGTGGCGGCGCCAGAGATTTCTTTTGGGGGTGCTGTGCTTGACGTTTCATAGAGGGTGCTCAAACATTTAGGGTTTCCCATTAATGTACCGGGCGCTACAGTGGAATGTTCTACTGCAACAATCCCCACGCAAATACACAGTGTGACTGTTACAATGAAGGCTCGATAATCAGCTCACGGCATATAGGTGTAAGCAGGGGTAAAGTGCTATTTTTATAAGTGGGGAGCGGACCTAACATCCTCTAGGGGGTCCAGGGGCATGCTCCCCAGGGACGATTTTTATTTTAATATTGAAGTTAAAAGCATCAATCTGGTGAACTTTGAGAGCAACATGAAGAGATCTATGGATACCTCTCTCAACATCCATATGAAACAGACCTGTAAACAGATTTACTTTTTCTTTATGGATATTTTACAAATCACTCCCCTTTCAGACTTTATTCTTTTTTTACTGTCATATAGTATTTCATACCTGTTTTTCATTTATTCTCTTATTTTTTTATAACTATAATGATCATATAAACGCGTGCCTCGGAAATAATTGTTTACATTAATCGTGACCAAAACGTTTGAGACCCGGCCACTAGCTCGCTAGCACCAGAAGCTAACAACAACGATCTCCAGTACCGGTGCTCTCTCTCTCTCTTTCTCGCGCATGCACACAAAATGGCTCGTTCCACACACACACAGAGCCGAGCTTGAATGAAACACAGAGACCCAGACGTACTTGTACTGTATCATATTATTTTCAAATCAATAATTTTTCAAATTATGATTTCTTTCTTTTTTTTCAAAACCATTTTTCCTCCTGGTCTCACGCGCCCCCCCCCTGTCATGCCTCTGCGCCCCCCAGGGAGGGCGCGCCCCCCACTTTGAGAAACACTGGTCTATGGCAACATCGGGTATGGAAAGTGAAGCCAATGCCCTAAACCTGCTATGACAAATGACCCTACCCCGTGCAGTTGAAACTGATATTGCAATTTCTAAGTCTTCTGCACCACAGCATGATGATCATTTAGTAAATCATGGTCCCATTTCGGGAAAAAAATAGACAATAAAGCAGAGTATGATTAAGGGAGGGGATGCCTTTTTATTTTGTTTTTTTGTGTTCAGTTGTACTTAACTCTACCCTATACTTCTAGGTACAACAAAACAAGGAGGTGACTGCCTGAAAAACAAATCTGTCATATGCAAGATGAGCTCCAGTTAAAAAGCCAAAAAGGCTTAACCAAAACATAGCGTAGTTAATGGGAAGTCCATGTATCTTTATGCAACAGTTCATGCAATATGTTTTTCATCAACATTTCATTATACTGTGCCCTTAATTGAGAAGTTCAGCTGTGTTTACCTACCAGCCACATTTACAAGGATATCTATGACAACATAAGTCAAAATTGGCTCATCTTACCCCACTCTCCCCTATAGAGAGACACGAAGAAAATAGAACACTATTATATAAAATAATTTAATTGTAACAAGTACACATTCAAGTTGATAGGTAGCAGCAGTATTTATAAGATAAAATAAGTGTAGCACTGTAGAATGAAGTGTGGTATATAACAGTAGTAAAATGATTATTGCACATAGTAACGTAAAGATCCCTGTTCAATAATGGATGGACTAACTAGGAGTAGTATTAGCAGAAGATATTGCACATAAGTGTTGC